AGGCTGTAAATCTTTACGGGAGCTTAGTAACATTAAAAAATTAATAACTTTATTACCATTTGAATTTCCATTTTGAGGAATTGACTGTTAAGTTCTTAACTTAGTATTTGTCTATTGGAATTACAGAATTTTTCCTTTCTTTTGTAAACCCTGTATTTATTAAGGATATTAAATACATATTTTTAAATGTTTCCAGATTATTGTTTGTTTTTTAATTTTATTTATGAATTTTTGACATACAGAAGTTTTTAAGTTTTTTAACCATGGTATGACACTGTAGGATCAGCACTGAACTTTGAACTACAAGGTCAGCAGTTCAAGTCTTCTAGCTGCTCTTTGGAAACCCTGAACAGGGTTGCTACGAGTTGGAACCAATTTAATGGCAGTTAACAACAGCAACCACAACCGTGCCGTACTTTGGGATTTATGACATTGTTTTAAGCAGAGAAAGTCTTTTCCATTAATAAATAAGCGTACTTTTATTTTATTCTTCTCCTCCCATTTCTTTCTTCTCCTTTCATATTTTTAACTCTTAGCTTTCTCATTTAGCTTGAGTAAAGATCAAACTTCATCTTCCTCTTTATCTTTTATCCACACAGATAGCTATTTGTTCTACCATAATTCATTAAATAAATCCTTCTCCCTTCTGATTTATGATGTTGTATTTTCATAGATTCATTTTGTATATCATTCTTATACTTGCTTTTTTCCATTGATCAATTGCTAGACCACACTTCTTTTCATTCTTGTTGTTGTTAAGTACCATCGAGTCAATTCTGACTCATAGTGACCCTGTATAGAGTTTCCGATGAGTGTCTGGTGAATTTGAACCACCGACCTTTAGATTCAAACTGACCTTTTGGTCCAGTGCATTATCCCACAGAACCATACCAGGACTTTTAATTACATGTTTTAAAATAATCACTCAGAAGTGCTAGCTTTCATTTTAAAAAAAGAATTTTTCACTTATTATTTTCTTCCCTACAAACTTTAGAATCAAGTTCCAAAAAAAAAAAGGAAGAGAAAAGAAATCCATGGAGATTTTAAAAAATACAGATATTTAAAAGCTGTATATTAATTTGTAAAGGATTATAGTTTATATATTTTAGCCCTTTTATATAGATTTCAGACACTGTGGGCTAATGCGTCAGACTGCAAAGTCGTTTGAACTGCAAGATCGGTGGTTCAAGCTCACCAGCTGCTCCTTGGAAACCCTATACAGGGTCGCTATGGGTCGGAATCTACATGATGGCACTTAACAACAACAACAACAATATAGCTTTCAGAAGGGTTTGTAATTTCTTTCACTGTAGCTCTCTCACAAAACCCAAAACTAGTTGCCATGGAGTTGATTCTAACTCCTGGTGAGCCCATGTGTGTCAGAGTAGAACTGTGCTTCAGAGGGTTTCATTGGCTGATTTTTCAGACGTAGATTGCCAGGCCTTTCTTCAGAGGTACCTCTGGGTGGACTCAGTACATAAACCATTTGCACCACTCAGCAGTCTCACACTTCGCAGGAAATTTTTCTTTTGATATTTTGTTTTTCATTGTATGGTTTTTAAAATAAGAATTTTCAAGCAGAAGAAAACTATTTTTAAGAGAACATTTATGTTACATTTAGCTACTGAAATTTTTTTATATTGAATTAAGCGTTTTAGCTGTTTGTTTTGGACCTTTCTGTGCTTATAATTCATCATATTTGAAAGAAAATGTTTACATAGATTGATGCTATGTAAACTGTCTAATTTTAAGATAGGACAAATAAACCAATTATATGTTAAAAGAAATAACTTTACCTTTATTGCAGCCATTTCTCCCTTTGTCAGATAGTGGTGTTATATATGATTCAGATGAAAGCCTTCATAGTGATGAGGAAGAAGATGATGCTTTTTTTTCAGATATACAAATCCAAGAGCATCAAGATCCAAATTCCTACAGGTAAATAAGGTTTTTTCTTGCTTTGCTTTTATAGAAAATCCTGCTGCTATTAATTTTAATTAATATTATTAATATGAGTTTATATGAGAACTAACTTATGTTTTCAGGTCTGGAATTTTAGGTAAATTTCTAGCAGGTGACAATGTCACATCCAATTTATGGATTTATTTATTTATGCAGAGGGCAAACACAAAACATTTGTAGTAAGAAAAAATATGTAATTGATTGATGAGCATTAGAACTTAACTAGATTCCACGTTACTGTGTGGTAAAGATTTCTTCTAGGTAATTTTCATATATTCCAAGTGTGATTGATCTATTGATGTATAGCTTTTCTTTTAGAAGCTACAAAGGAACCTTAAAAAAAAACAAAAACAAAAACAAAAAACAACACCTATTTTGGGTTGGAGATGGCGTTAAACATTTGAATCAGAAACTTTATTATGCTTCTGCTTAAAATGATCTCCCTCAAAGATCCCTGTGCAGCAGTTATCTGGTTAATAAAACATAGATGCACCCTTTTCTTCTAAGTTGGACCTTTTGTCCCCGTCGGTCAGCAGTTCAAGCTCACCAGCTGCTCCTCGGAAACCCTATACAGGGTCACTATGGGTCGGAACCGACTTGACAGCACTTTACAACAACTCCGTTAGCTTAACCAGGAATATAGATGGAATCAGGAGCCCTGGTGTTGTTGTTAAGTGCTGTCAAATCAGTTCCAACTCTTATCAACCCTCATATATGGTTTCCGAGGAGTGGCTAGTGCATTTGAACCACTGACTTGGTGGTTCAAACCAACCTTGCGGTCCAGTGATTATCCTATAGGAGCCCTGGTAGCATAGTGGATTAGGAGATGGGCTGCTAACCTCAAGGTCAGTATTTCAAATCTACCAGGCACTCTTCTGCAGAAAGATGAGGCTTTCTGCTCCCGTAAAGTTTGACAGCCTTGGAAACCCTATATAGGGTTGCTCTGAGTTGGAACTGACTGTGTGGCACACAACCACCACCACCATGGATAGAATCAGTGCTGCTTTGTTTTACAATGTTGTTGTTGTTGTTATGTGCCCTGGAGTTGGTTCCGACTCATAGCGACCCTGTACAGGGTTTCCAAGGCTGGAAATCTTTATGGGAGCAGAACAACTCATCTTTCTCCCGCAGAATAGCTGGTAGTTTTGAACAGCTGACCTTGCGGCTTGCAGCCCGATTCGTAACCACTACGCTACCAGAGCTCCTTTTGTTTTACAAAAGCCATCTTTTTTTGCTTAGATTTGATATCTCTCTGCAAAGAGTTGGGTTTGCCCTTCTAGGAGTCCTAATGTGGCGCTGTGGGTTAATGCGCTGGACTACAAAGTCAGTTTGAACCTCAAAGCTGATGGTTCAAGCTCATCAGCTGTTGCTCAGAAACCCTATGCAGTGTCGCTGTGGGTTGGAACCAACTCAACGGCACTTAACAGCAATAACATATGTGTATAGTCTCTGACTTTTGTTTAGCTCTCTGGTAATTTTACTATTCTCAGTACATTTAATAATTCTATCTTGTAGATTCTTTAAAGAGAAAATAAAGAACATGTTATTTTTCAATTAAGGAGATTTTTTTTTGTCCCCCCTGAACAGCTGGGCGCTTCTACATTTGGCAATGGTTAAACTAGTACTTCACAATGTCAGGAATTTCTTCCCAATTGCTGGATTGGAATTTTCTGGTGAGTTTGGAATTTGAAAGAATAATGTTATTAAATATATTAAATAACCATCAAATTTCCCTTTATAAGATTTATGTAAAAGACCTTTTGGTACTCAAAATGTATTGCACTGGAGATTTTATTTATTTTAGACTTTGATCTGTAGTTTTATCACACGAATCACTGTCTATCTAGAAGGTTGGAAAAGCAGGAAATTAGACTGAAGAAGCTAGACATTTTCTTAGCTCACTTTACTGAGCTAGCTGGCTTTCTGTTTGTTGAAAATATTAAGATCCAAGTGACATTAAATTCACATTTTTAGATTTATTTATATTTTCAGAAATCTTTGCTCTAAGAATCTACATGTGTGTAAATATATGGATGATGATCCTTTTTAAAAAATCAAACTAAAATGACAAATTTTATCACCTTCTAGAGCTGCCTGTGACATCACCATTAGGTATTGCTGTGATTAAAAACTTGGAGAACTGGGAACAGATTCTGCAAGAGAAAATGGATCAGTTTGAAGGTCCACCTCCTAACTACATCAACACATATCCCACTGATCTTTCAGTAGGAGCTGGACCAGCTATTCTTCGAAATAAGGCAATGCTGGAACCTGAAAACACTCCATTCAAGTAAGAAAGCTCTTAAGATGCTGATAAAAGGGTGGTTTGGTTTAACTTTTTTGGAATGCAATTTGGCAAAAATGTCAATAGCATTCAAAATGTTCATAGCTTTTGAACCTGCATTCTGTTTCTAGCAGTATATGCTATGCTAAGGAAAACATCAGAAAGTTAGACAAAAAATTACTCTTGTCCGTATTTCCCACGATTCATTTGGTTTATTGCTTTTATACTCAAACACCCCTTTATTGTTATGATTATTTTGCTATTTTAAACTCTTTCTCACAGATTAGGTTTTCCCTAATCTACATATGCAAACAAGGTGCTACTGACCTCTTCTTATTAGTGACTTAACAGTCTACACCTTGAGGTCTTTAAACATTAATTTTTTAAAAATGTTTTATTGTGAATTATGTGATTGATAGTTTACATGGGAAAACACTAGCTTTACATTCATCCTATTGTATATCATTTCATTGCCATGGTTACAGTCCCCTCCATGCATCTTCAACCAGCCAAAGGGTATACCCTGCAAGCCTGCCCCCTGGTTGTCAGCACA